CAGTGTCTCCTGTCTTATAAAACTCATCTACAGCTAAAAATAAAAGTACTGACAGTTTTTCAGATGTTGAGTTGATTGATCTTTAGTATTGTTAGAAGGTCTTTTATTTATTGGCAGTTGCTTGGTGAGTCAATTGTAGATCTTTCGTCTTTTGTAGATTATTCTTTATAAATTTTTCCTCAAATTTTTAAACATAATTACCTTAACTGAAATAATTTATTTTTTTATCTTTCCATCCAAAAATGTTTTTCTTTGTCCTGTCACAGAATTCCAGCCACTTTATACGTGGCCAAAGTTACAAGCTCAGATCCTTCAATAATCATTAAAAAAGTGTTGTATATTTCACTTTGGTGTCATTGACTGTGACTAGTTTCAATGATTATTTTTGTCTGTTAATAGGCAACTTCTGATTAAATTAATATACAATTGCTGAATGATTCTTAATATTGTTTTTAATCTTAAAACTTGTTTTTACACAGCTGATTTATTTCACTCTGCTATAGCAAATCATACTTGCCACTTTTGTAAAATTTGTGACAAACCTTCTGCATTTAATTCTGCCTCATTACTGTGCCTTCATTTGAAAGTTAAAATTTTTCATTCTTAATTTTTAAGCTAGGAAAATAATTTGTTATAGTTAAAATAGTATTTCACGTTTACTACCAATTGTGATTTACATAAATATCACTGTCACTCAGGCTGTCTGCATAAAATATTCACATAAACACATTACTGTGCCGCATTGTTGCTTAGAAAAATAATTTTAACTGAATATTCTGTTAACACAAACTAGACTGCTGATTTGTTTATGTACGAGTATAATACGAGAAATGACATGCGCCCGTCACATCATTGTGATACATGTGATGTAATAAAAGTGAACTACTCTATTTTCACCAAAACCGTAAAGTTATGTTTAATAGAAAAATATCTTATATTGCTTCAGTTAAGTAAAATTTTATGTTAATGTAAAATAATTTGGTTAACCATCTTCCTATTGTTGATGTTTATATTATTCAGATTTTTTTAGATTTAAAATAATATTATTATAAATAACCTTGTACCTAAATACTGTGTTTCTAAAGAATGTTTATGAAAACTGACCATAGAAATTGATTCGAATTTTGTTTATATGTGAATAGAAAAAGTGTAGAAGGAAATAAAAAAACTTTAACAAAATATTTTATATTAATTACAATTTGGTAAAAAAATTAAAATTCAAGTCTGTTTAACTTCCGGCCAAGATAGAGGTGTAGATAGATATACTTTGCCTCTTCGCACAACTAAAAGAAGGACAACAACAAATTTAAAAACAAAAAATAACCAGAGCTGCCAGAAAATCAAACTGTATGGAAGTCTAACAACCAAGTAGTTAAAGAAGAAACATTTCATCCAGACTGGTAGCAGGGGCAGAGACGGGCAGCTGGGTGGAGAGGACATGCAGCAAGGCGGCAGCTGGAGGACAAGGTGGTCCCACATTTGCATGAGGATAAACCAGGAGGAACAACTGGGGAGGGAGACAGATTGCACAACCCAGGGTTCTAGCCTGGGAAAAGAAAGCCTCAAAACCTCTGGCTGTAAAAACCTGTGGGGTTGCAGTGGTGGGATAAATTCCCATCCTTACAGGTGATTTTGCTGGAGAGACCCACAAGGTTCTACAATGTACACAAACCCTGGGAATCAGCTCCAGAAGAACCCAATTTGTTTGTGGGTAGCAGGGAAGTGACTGAAAGACGGTGAAAGCTTATCAAGTGGCACTGTTCTATTTCTGACCCCTCCCTCACATAGAGTGCCATAATGCAGAGATGTGGGTTGTCCTGCCCTGCCCTTAAGGCTCCACCCCTTCAGATGTAACAGGCACATAAGACAAAAAAATATGACCCAAATGGAAGAACAGATCAAAGCTCTAAAAATAGAACTAAGCAAGGAAAGAGATAGCCAATGTATCAGATACAGAGTGCAAAACACTGGTAACCAGGATCCTTATAAAAATGGCTGAGTATCATCGAAAAATATAGGAAAAAGTGAGGGCTATTTAAGTGAAATAAAGGCAAATGTACAGGGAACCAATAGTGAAGGGAAGGAAACCGGGACTTAAATCAACAGTTTGGAGCACAAGGAAGAACTAAACATTCAACTAGAACAGAATGAAGAAACAATTAAAAAAAAAATGAAGAGATGTTTAGGAATCTCTGGAACAACTTTAAATATTCCAACATCTGAATCATAGGAGTTCCAGAACAGGAAGACCAAGAAATTGAAAACCTCTTGAAAAAATAATAAAGGAGAACTTCCCTAAGCTGGTGAAGGAAGACTTCCAAGAAGTCCAGGAAGCTCAGAGAGTCCCAAAAGAGTTGGACCCAGGGAAGCACATACCAAGGTACATCGTAATTACAAGATTAAAGATAAGGAGAGAATCTTAAAAGCAGCAAGAGAAAAGGAGACAGTTACCTACAAAGGAGTTCCCATAAGGCTTTCTCAAAAGAAACCTTGGAGGCAAGAAAGGGCTGGAAACAAGTATTCAAAGTAAGAGCAAAGACCTACATTCAAGATTATTCTATCCAGCAGAGCTATCATTTAGAATGGAAGGGCAGTTACAGTGTTTCCCAGATAAGGTCAAGTTAAAGGAGTTCATCATCACCAAGCCATCATTATATGAAATGTTAAAGGGATTTATCTAAGAAAAAGAAGATAAAAAATGTGAACATTTAAAATGATAACAAATTCACAACTATCAACAATGGAACCTAAAAAAACAACAACTAAGGAAACAACTAGAATAGGAAGAAAAGCACAGAAATGGAGATCACATGGAGGGTTATCTGCGAGGAGGGGAAGAAGAGAATGGGGGAAAAGGTACAGGAAATAAAAGAATAAATGGTAGATATAAAATAGGGAGAGGTTAGGAATAGTATGGGACGTATAGAAGACAAAGAACATATACATATGACCCATGGACATGAACCTAAGGGGGTGGCAGTGGGGGAGGAATGATGGTGGGAGGGGCGGTGCAGGATGGAGGGGAATAAATAGGATGAAGAAAGTGGAACAATTTTAATAGCATAATCAATAAAATATGTTTAAAAAAATTAAAATTCAGTTTCTCAGTTCCATTATTAGCGCAGCTCTAGAGTCCATAGCAACTTACTCACTTTAATGATAAAAGTTCAGAGAGATGAGACAACTAGACCCAATTAAACAAGATTAGTTGGAACAGACAAGGGCAAAATTAAGTCTGTATTTCAATATACGAAAATAGTTACTTTAACAAATGTAAAGTAATTTTATATCCCAGGCTGAATCCATGTCACACCAAAAAGAATTACTTTAATAAGAACAAAATCGTGATTTAACTTAATTTGAAACTGTTTCTTTAAACAAAGGAACCACTTTTTGTGTAGCTTAAGGGGTTCACTTTCAACTCGATGGCAGGGACATCCTGTGAACACACAAAAGGTGATCTAAATTTCCTCTTAGGTTCTATTTCCCAGTTGAACACTCGCACTTGGAGTTGAGTTTGTTTTGGACAAAGTATTGTTTTATCCAAAATACCATGCATAAATGTATGCAAACATAAAAAGAAAATGTAAGGAGGAATTAGAGGAACAACGCAATTTCCTTCTTTAGGGAAGGTTCATGGAGGAACCAAATGTGTTAAGCCCAAATTTGGACAGAGTTGGCTTGACCCTCCTGACATTTATGCTCAGAGGAAGCAAAGAAGTAAAACTGTTCACTTGTTTAATTTCTTTATGTATTTGTCATAAAACATAAAAATTATTCTCCTGCCATTGCTGGTATTTGATCATAGAAAAGGTCTAGGATGTAAAAGGTGGCTTTTGTTATTTGCAGAAATGTTAGGGATTATTCCTGGGAACTTGGAGAATAGATCAGAGATGCTTGATGGACAGCATGGGTAGTTAATTAGTGGGGTGAGGGGGTATAATTTATTATATATATAATTTAAAGTTTCCAAAAGCACTAACTTAAAATTTGACTCCTGAGGGTAAAAGACACAAGCTGTGCTTTTGTGTGTAATTTTTTTAAGTTACTTTCTCCTCTTCTGATTTTTTAAGAGATTGGTTTCAGATGTGTAAGAAATGGTTTTTGGATTCTGCTAGAGATGACCTAATTTTTGCTATTGCTCTGCATTGAGTTTCGTTTGCTCAGAATGGCAGTGTTATTGTCATTATTCTTTAGTAGTTTTAATAAGTGGTTTTATCCAAAGCCTGTAAGTTGTTTTTGCTAAAATTGGCCTTATCCCAGGAAAAAAAATAGAATGCTGATGTCCAAGTTAAAGCTTATTCTGTGTGATTCCTTGTCATTGGCTCATTGACTTGCTGAAGTGTGTGCGTGCGCACACCGTGTCATTTTTAAGGAAAACCTTAAACATCTTTCTTCAAAGCAGTTACCAGTTTCCTAAAAGATGTAGGTGCCTTTTTATATTTTTGTTTTCTGACACCTCAGCATGAAAAGATTTATTCTTCTCAACCATCTGAATTCAAATTATTTTAATTAAATTATATTTTAAATGCACAGCTTTATTTTTAGTGTTTACATTCAATCATTTCTACAGTTTCGTTTCCTTTTCCCTACTTTTCATTTAAATCTCTCCTCCCCCAAATTCCCCCATTAATTTGAGTTGGGAAGTATCACCTTAAAGCTTTATGAATAGAATTGGTGCTTTTTAGTTCCTTTTTATGTATCATGCACCTCTAAAATGAATGTAATACATGTAGCAGCTTATTTCATTTTTGAAGGAAGAATTGAGCTTTTGAATAAAAATGTGAAAAGCAGCTAGTGTTCATTGCCTACGTGGCTTTTTTCAAAAGGCTCATGAGAAACATTCCACTGTGGATTCCAAGTCCTCTTTCAACTCACCACCAACAGTAACCGCCTGCAGAGCCATGCGTGCATCTTGGCAGCAGCCAGGCCTTTTAGTGATTTCATTACTGTGGTTTCCTCAAGCTCTTTACACACATTGATGAATATTTTTCTTGCAGTTATCGCTGTGATGATTTTGTGGTTAATGACACCAAGCTGGGATTGGTGCAGAAAGTCAGAGAACACTTACAGAACTTGGAAAAGTAAGTAACAGGCCTTGGGGGAAGAAAGAGGATGGGTTGGGATTGAGAGCTGAATTTTTGAGTGGGATTTTTGTTTATGAGTTCAAGAACTTCATCATGTTTTTAGTGTGATTGAAACGTTAGTAAAATAAGCTTTCGGGCTTGGGTGGCTGAAACCATTCCCCTACTTAATGGTCATATCTCAGCATTTATTTTATTTAATATTTGTCATAAACCATATCTAAGGGCCTGTTTTTTAGTTATAACCCACCAAACTATAAACTACAGTTTTTTGTTTTTTTTTTTAGGGAAAGGAACTTGAGGGATGCAAGGAAAGGGCAGAATACAATATGAAATTATTATGCAAATTACCTTTGGTATTAGCAAATCCTTATCAAATGTATTATGAGGTCTTCTTATAAGCACTAAAAGTTATGCATTCCTTTTAAGAGAAATTAGGTTTAATTGTATTGTTGTCCACTTTGCATTTACGTGATAGCACAGGGTCCTACTTTCTTCTTTCCCTTTTTTGTTAGGGGCAGTATGTACCCCTTGAAATTACAAGAGCCCGTGAGATGCTCTGTCATCATAAAGAAATTAAAGTACTTGTGTGAACAGAATTTTCTTGCTGTAGCCAGTAGGCCATTCAGATAAAACTCACTGGACCCCAAATTCAAGCAGTTAAACAGAAACACAAATAGCAAGCATGGCCCTAGACTGACTGACTGGAGTGCAATTTGTGTAAATCACCCCCCATCACCTAATTTATTTTGACAGTTGGTGTATAAAAGGTATTGCGAGCATATGCCAAAAGAAAACTTAAATGTAGAGCCGATAGAATATTTTTAATTATATGTTGATAGGAAATAACCTAGGTTCTTCCGATGAAATACTGCATAACTTTGGTTAACCAAAATCCATATATATGTCTCTTTGACTAAATAGATTATAATGCTGAAAGGAAAGAAGAATTGATTTCTTTAAAATCTAAAAAATTAAAACACTTTGGGTTTAAGTACTTTTGGGCTTGTCATCTTTTTCTTTGGCTTTTTTCTTTTTCAAAGCATTTCCTCCCTTTTAATTTTGTTCCCCCCGAACAAAGCAGCCAGAGCCCCGTCGAGGGTTACACACACAGATCTAAAAGATCTAATTCTGTCTGAAATTGTGCCCATTAACCGGAGGCAGGAGAGCCTGCAGGAACGTGCGTGCCATCACTCTTCGGTGTGGTGGTGGCCTTGGGAAGATCTTGCTGTGTTGGGCCTTGGTTATAGAAGTGGGTGGGTACAGAGAATTTTTTTCTCTTAAGAAAAGACTACCATCTAATCCCAAATAAATTAATCAAACCAAGTCAAAGGGAAAAGAGGACAACATTCAAGAACCTGCACGTACATATATAGTTATCAAATTTTTCATTTCCATTGACCCACTTTGTCAGGTAAAAGATGTTAGAACCGCCTGGCCTACCCTCCTTGGCCCCACTGAAAATCGACCTTGCGATCCTTTTGCTATGTTGAAAAACATTACCTAAGTTCATTTTTATGTTTTTCAAGAAGACTTTAATTTCTAATGGAAGGCACAGTTTAAAAACTGTGATTACATTTATGTTTTACTTAACTTTTAGACTTTTCTGTATATTCTCTAGAGCAGCCCTGTGCAGCAGGACTTTCTGAAGAGGAGGTGGCCTGGGATCCGCACCGTCCAACACGGCGGCCACTAGCCACACATGGCTGTGGGGCGCTTCAGAAGTGCCCAGTGTGACTCAAGGACTGAATTTAAATTTTATTTAGTTTTAATTTATGTAATATATACAGAGCAACATGTAGTGAGTGGCTGCCATAATAGATGGTGTGGGTCTAGAGGATTCTCCCATTTCTAGGCTCACCAATGGTAAAATTTTAATAACTTGGATTTTAGAAAGCTAAATGCTTTATGCAGGTTGCAGGTTAAAACTAAAAGCTAACCATTAGGCACTGTCACTAGGTAGTGTATATACGCTGCTTGTGTTTCAACTTCTTTACTTAGGGAATTTGTGGCGGGACAACCTACCACTGTAATCTTCTTACCCGCACTCCACCCTACACTGAGGGGCACCAGCACAGTTCTGAAGACGGATTTCCTGCGAGCAGTTTTAGATTTGGAGCAACTGACGGTTACTAGATCTGATGCTCCAAAGGCATAGTTCATCTGGAGATTCTGGAAGGAGAAATAATTCTGTATTTATATTGGATTAGCTTAGCACTTTATTTACTTATTTTTATTATTATTGTTTTTTATCTTCACCTGAGGACATGCTCATTGATTTCAAAGAGAAGGGAAGGGAGGGGAAGAGAAAGGGAGAGAAACATAGAGGTGAGAGAGAAACATCGATTGGTTGCCTCTTGTACACGCTCTGACAGGGGACCAAACCCACAACCCAGTCATGCGCCCTGACTGGGAATCGAACTCATAATCTTTAGGTTCCCAGGACAGTGCTCCAACTAACTGAGCCATATGGGCCAGGGCATGGATTAGCCTAGTACTTGTAGAAGATGAGAAAGAATCAGCAAACTTAACATTTTGTCTATGTTGTTTAATGGTAATTTTACCTCCTTTAGCTTGGTTGTCCTGATATATAATTTTAAAGTGACCCTTTGAAGATAGGAATTAGTTCTTGATACTTTAAGCAAAATATCTCTTTTATCAAGAAAAATTTAAATAATTCTAATTCAGAATTTCTGTGCTAATTACGATTTGTTTTAGAATATGTAGCATAGCTGAATTGAATTTATTTACATATGCCTATAATTTCTCATTCCACAAACTCAGGTTATATCATTCATAACCTATTATAACAAATGAACAAAACATAATACCTTTATCAAAATTAAGAAGTAGCACAGTATTTGAGACAGTAAAAGTCTCAGAATAATCACGTCAGGCCAGAGTCTCCCTTCAGTTAGGAGGAGTGGCTGTTCTCACTTTTGGAGCCCCGTGACGGAGGAGGCAGACCGTGGTGCACAGGATCATCGCACAGGCCCTGTCTGCTTGGCTAGCTTTTCTGGGAAGCGCCCGTGGTGGCAGCCTCCCGTGGTGGCAGCCTCCCGTGGTGGCAGCCTCCCGTGGTGGCAGCCTGCCGTGGCACCTTGCTGAAGGAGCAGGGGGGATTTTGAAGGGAAGTGGAACTCCTCAGTTACTTCTACACGTGTGGGCCAGCCTGGTCCTTAGAGGCCATGTCCTAGCCTGACTAAGCAGCCAGGCAGGGCTCCATATCCTAGGCGCTTAGAGCAGCCAAGTTTATTCTGAAACCTGCTGTGTAGTCCGTATGTATTCTTGTCTTTTTGACGGTCTTTCTGTTTGTGTTTTAATAGCTCAGCTTTCACAGCTGACAGGCATAGGAAAAGAAAACTTTTGGAAAACTCATCATTAAACAGCAAGTTGTTAAAAGTAAATGTAAGTAATTAAAGTTTATTCAAATATAAGAGTTGGTTGAGATCTAGTTACTGCTTTATTACAACTTTAAAATTAGTGTTGTCCCTTGAAAACTTTTATAAATGTATGCCTTGGATTTGTAACTTTTTATAAAATGTTTGCCACTTGTACTAGTGATTCTTTTGTTTTAAATCCTTACCTGAGGATATATATTTATTGATTTTAGAGAGAAAGGAAAGAAAAGAGAGAGGGAAACATTGATTGGTTACGCCCCCCTGCTCCCATTACCCGTGCCCTGACCAGGGATCGAACCCACAACCTTCTGGTGTATGGGACGACGCCCTAACCAACCATGCCAGCTGACCAGGGCACACTAATGACTCGGTGCGGCTGCGTGTCACAGTCCAACTGACAGTGCCTTTATTCTGTCTGGGTCACCACTGGGCTCTTCTGCCATAACACGTGTTTGTCCTCAGTGCCCACTTGTGTACCTTACTGTGACATTTCTGTAGGACCCTAAGATCCTGGCTTTCTGTTAAAGGGCCCTAGTGCAAAATCTGTGGGTCTGAAGTACTAGTATTTTATTTCCTAGGACTGTTTAGAATATAACTCTACCATAAAAGAATATGCTTTCTCATTCTGGTAACTATCCATTGTTACCAGATGTATGAGTCATTAATGGCGTTTGGATTAGCAAAATTTAAAAATCACGAAATACTTGAATAATTTTGCCCTGCATCTATAATACCTAGCTCCTGGCTTTCATGCTAGCTATATAGAGACACACTCTTAATTAAAGTGTTAGGATTTTGTGGAAGAAGGAGCTACAGTGCTCTCTAGCCACCTGAATTATGGACAGAGATGCTTTGAATTGGATTGGAAGATCCACTTCCAGGGTTCAAGTGGAGCGTTCAGATGTCATAATGTATTTGTAGGGCTAATCAGAAAACCAAGCTTCAGTTTAAGGGAAGTTCAAGTAGTTAGAGATTGGTATTGCATTGCTATGAAAACATATATTGGTCATTTACACATGGCTTAGAGTTAAAAGTTTGGGAATAGAAATACTAGGGGTGCATAAACTTATGGTTTTTTAATTTGTAGTAGTTTTAATAGAATCTTACAAAGGCATTACATATTACTCTTTATTTCTTTTAAGGATCTTCTTGGGTTTTGCATGGTGTACTGCATGGTACTTAGAAATGCTGATTTCCTCATAAACTTCTCTGAGATACTGCCATTCAGAACAGACCCAGGATCAGAAACAGCCTTCTAAACATATCTAGACACTAATGCAGAGCATATAAACAGAGTTTGAAATATTGATTGGACAGAAAAGGACAAATTCCAAGTTGGCTTGATTCTAGAGTTTCAAGTACTGTAGGCCTTTGCTTTGCTTCAATGTTTGAAACAGCCAGCCTTCTCTTGGCACTACTGATGGCCTCTTCTCATCCCATTTTATAGGGAAGCACCGCGGCCATTTGTGCCACAGGCCTTCGGAATTTGGGGAACACGTGTTTCATGAATGCCATCCTTCAGTCACTCAGGTAATGTGACAGACAGAGCTTCAGTGTCTGATGCTGGGTTCTGATGGGGTGGTTAAGAGCAGGGGCATGGGCTCAGACCCTCTCTGCCATTGACTCGTCATAACACGGGGGCAGGTCACCTCAGTTCCTTAGTTTTTCTCATCAGTGAAATGGGGATAATAGTTTTACTGCACAGTGATGTTGGGATGATTAAATAGTGTAATTTGTGTAAAGTGCTTATTAGAAAAGTGCCTAGCGTTAAGTAGCTGCTCACTGTTATTTGTTTCCTATTGCTTCTTGAATAGGCTAGAGCAGAGGCCAGCAAACTTTTTCTGTAAAAGGCCAGATTAAATATTTTTATCATTTAAAATTAATATTCAAATACATCTGTCTCCATTTTCCCACCATCACTTTCCCCGCCCCACTCACCCCCACCTCCCACCCTCAATCCTACCCCCCTTTGGCTTTGTCCTGGGTCCTTTATACACGTTCTTTGATATTTTTAATCTTTGCATGCTATCTACAGGCTCATATATTCTTTTCCCCTCTACCCACCCACCCATTTTAAACAGCAGTTTAAAAATGTAAAAGCTCATTGCCCCAGGGCCAGGTATGGTGTGTGGGCTATAGTTTGCAGACTGCTAGACTACAGGGAACCTTGATCAGAAAAGTTATTTGAATCATTAGTTGAGTCTTAGGTATGGTCATAAGACTGGATGTTTAAAAGATCTTCAAAATGTAAGAGAAGCAGTAAATATAAAATGACCAAGAAGGCTGACCTGGGTTGTATTGAGTAAATTATTTTGAAAGTTGTATACTTTTAGATTTTAATGAGCCATCAAAGGTCAGAATAAATTATCTCCCCAAGGCCACCTTGCTAATAAGGAGCAGAAGCTGTATTTGATCTCTCCTGTTAGCTTATCCAGTTTGCTCAAAGAAGAGGTTTTAGTCGTGACTGAATTCTCCTTGTGACTCTGTGTATCTGAACAATGCATGGTCTGTTATTATTTGAGGATTTGAGGAAGTTGTTGACAAGCTGGACACAAGCACCCTGAGAAGAAAGAAGGGTGACACTCTGCAGATGTGGGGGTGGAGAGTGAAGATACAGGGGTTTCTGAACAGAAGTTCTGCTTTAAGATGACTTTCTACAAAGTCACCTACAATATTTATACTGTTTCTTGGAATAAATGTGGAACAATGAAGAAACTCAGTGCAAGAGACTACACTGAGTACAATGTAAAGGAAAAATTGAAAGATCACATTTTCAAAATCCATATGTATGTTTCATAGAACTTTCTTTACCATCCTAGTATATTTTTTAAAAATAATTTTCTTCCCTTCCTTTTTAAATAGTAACATTGAACAGTTCTGCTGTTATTTCAAAGAGCTGCCCGCCGTGGAGCTGAGGAACGGGAAGACAGCAGGCAGGCGCACGTACCACACCAGGAGTCAGGGGGATAGCAACGTGTGAGTCCTAAGAGCGCGTCCTTCCGGGCTCTGAGCTGCAGAACAAATGCCTCTTACTGGTCATTCCCGTTGCCTTTTTGAGTTCACGGGCACATACATTTTTAAAAACTCCTCTTCTAGAAATTGTGTTTTAAGTATCTAGCTGGTAATCTTAATAATTATTGGAATTCTTGTATTTGTATTTATCTAAAAGGCAGCATAAATTTAGCATTCTCCTTATTTAAGTCTTTGTGAATTTGAACATTCTAAAATTGACATTTGTATATGAAATACAGTTCTAGGTGTAGACCAGCATGAATATCATTCATCTTTGTGAATTGATTTGTCTGACAGTGTTGGGTGAACCCATCATGGATAATAAAGTTAATTCGTGATCATTAATACAGTCAATTTTTCATTGATGTGAAGAGGGAAAAAATGAACAAGTGATTACTGAGAACCCATATGTATTCAGTGCAGACATGCTCTATTTGGGGTTTAGAAAATCTGTCTTACTGTGACTGTCGGGGGCATGTTTTTTCATACTTACCATTGCTGAAATAGGGCTGTGATTAATGATCTGTGCACATTTTAATGTAATGTTTTCCCTGCCTGCCCATCCCCACACCCACACATCCCATCAGACGTGTTACAGGAAGCCACCTTATAATCGGGTGCTGTTCTGTCTAGGTGGTTGAGGGAGACTGGGACAGAACGCCTTAGACCATGCACAGTATGGCTGGAGCCAAAATACAGGGGAACTTTAAAGTCAGGCATTGATTGGAGCAGGGATGGAATGACATCACTGGAAGTGGTGTTTTGACAACAGTGTGTAGGATGGACTGGAAAATGCCTGTATTCAAGGTTTCACACTCTATAGTAATTGGTTAGGAGGGGGTAGTACTGAAATGAAGAGGAAAAAATACATGTACACAAAACTTAAGGGAAGAATGGGATGTGATTAATGTCATTTAGGGCTTAGTGACAAACCATAGAAATTGCTTCTTGCCATCTTAGGCAGAAACTTACTGAAGGTCTAATTGGGGCCCCTGCTATTACTGGATGGGTGGAAAATCAGGTCTGAAGTCTGGGCATCCAGAACCAAAGCCACAACCAGCCCACAGACCTTTCGCATGAAGACATCACTGCTCCCGCTGCGCAGTGCAGCACCAGAGCTCTCACTGCCAGCACTGCTGGAGCCGGTGCTGGGTGGACGCTGCTGCTGCTGGCCCTGCACCCCAGATGATGCCTTTTGCCACCACAAAGGATTTGGCACTGCCCCAGCTTCTTTGCATCACAAACACCTGCTTCAAAGCAGCAAAACCCACGCTGTGTACCTGAGTCTTGGCTGCAGGGGGATGGGTGGAGGGAGGGGCCTCCAGCTTCCACAGTGGGAGGCAGGCTCTGACTCTCACCAGTACTCTTAAAGTGGAGAATTCCTCAAACCTAAGTTCAGGCACTAAAAGTAAAAAATAATGCTTTGTATTCCAGGGATCTACTGGATAATACTTGTTGAGAAAGAGATACTGAGGTTCCCTATGAATTAGGTATCCATGGGTATGGTGGTTGTATTGACAGATATAGTCGTTGAAGTTAAGGAGGTTATCAGTTTAGCTACATGCACAGATAACCAAAATTCACAGTGGTTGAAACTCCCATGCAGAAGTTGGAGGGCTGTGTGAAACAGCTGTCTAGGCATGTTTTATATGGTCATCAGGCTCCCTCTAGCTCTTTGTTTCACCAGCCCTCGTTTGGAGCTCTCAGCCACACAGTCCAGGATGGTTGCTGGAATGCTACCATTTCATCCTCATTCCAGCCAGAAAGGAAGAAGGAAGAGGTTAATAAGGACTATTATTTCTCTTTAAGGAAATTTCTCAGAAGTTGAACACATTCAGAGTTGTTTGTTCTAGGAGTTCATGTGCCAAGAAAAAAAAATGGAAGTTGTATTCTTGTGGAGGAGAGAAGAGTGGATATTTGGGGACAGTAGGGAGAGTACAGAGAGTGGGTTCAGTGCACAGAGTTTGAAGTAACAGGAGGACACCCAGTGGGAAGTCCCTGTTGGAAGCTGGAGAAACCTGAATAAAAGCAGTCATAAGAAAGTGTGTGGCTTTTAGATTTGGATTTCTGAGAGTCCCTGGTGTGGAGCCGAGTGCCGGAGCTGTGTGGTCGGATGAAGCCTCTGAGGCACGGAGGTCACGCTCTGAGGGGTGGGAAGTGCTCCTAGGGAGGGGAAATGCAGGGGATGGAGAAAGAGTCTGTTAATTGTATTGAAGTTTAAAAATGTATATTCTTAAGTACTTTGGTTTATAGCTTATCCATTGCTTTATTGTGCAAGTGTGGCAGTACTTAGGCACAAACTTCACCATATGGTCCCAAAACTGGTTTTGTCAGCAATTAACTATATACATGGGTTTTTGAGATGCTCCTACTTAACTGTCAGATTTAGCTCAGAAGAGAATAGCCCCTTTTTATGTTTTCATATTTTTATATATTATGAATTTTAGACAGCTGGACATTATGCATTAAGATAGCAGCCTCTCATTAATGCTGAAAGTATCATCCTTTCTTTTTTCCCAGGTCTTTGGTTGAAGAATTCAGAAAGACACTCTGTGCTTTGTGGCAAGGGAGCCAGACTGCGTTTAGCCCAGAGTCCTTATTTTATGTCGTTTGGAAGATTATGCCGAATTTTAGGTAAGTAATATTTAATGAAAGATACTTAAAACATTAATATTAGTCTTCACACTGTTCCTTAGGCAATTTCCAGTGAAGTGGTGGTGTTCAAAATAGTAAAGACTGGCTTTGCTTTTTATTTTGTTTAACGGAGAAAAACAGAAGTTGGGTATATTTCACTAGATAGATGTCTAAGTAATAGGTAGATATTAGAAATGTCTTTAACAAAGGGTAGGGTTATTTTGTTGTTATAAAAACAAAGTCCTTATAAATAACTTCGTGTACTGTAGTAAAAATACTGGACCAAATTTCCTTTATTCTTTCAAAATCTTGTAAATAATTACTACCATACACTGTCATGTTATTTCAACTAAAAACAGTCCAAATGTAATTGGTAGAAATCCATGGTACTACAGTTACTGCTCTGCTTTGGGCTCTGAAGTGCTTTGGGATTCCCTGTGCAGGGGGTGGCCGGGCCCGTCCGAACGTGGCTGCGGAGTTGCTGTGCCTTCTGTGCTCGCTCTCCAGCCTCACTCTGAGCAGAGAAACAGCCCTGCTGTCCGGGCCCTGCCTCTTCTCCCCCCGTAGGGCTTCAGGCAGTAGCAGATTTGGGCCACTGCAGGTTTTGACAACGGCCATCCCACTTTCTGTTGATTTTACCCTTTGAGGCAAGTTGTGGTTCTTGCTAATCGTTATTTTTATACCTTATATACATCACTCTTTTCTTCCTTTTTTTTTTTTACACAAAACCAGCATGCTCTACTAAAAGTTAGCATATTATTGCCTAATAGTGGTTTAGATATGTTGCTAATATACAGAAATGTTGTAAAGGTAACAGCTTCAAAGAACTCCTAAGTCCTTGTGATTGGCTGTTGTTACCCCTGATCTTTGATTGGAAGGAAACGTCTTTTAAATATACCATGCCATTTAAATCTCCTCCCAGGAGAAACTAACTTTGTAAGGATTTTAGTATTTCTTGACTCTTAGTTGGAAAGGTGGAAATGGCTGTTAAGTTACCACTAATTAGGTTGGGATTTAATATAAAATAACCTCATCACCTAGTCAGACTCCCTTTTTTTTCACTTTTACTTTGTTTCCTAGTCAGACTCTTGATAGGGACTTAATCTTTGTGTTTTACTCTATTCCCCAGCCATTCATTTTGCTTTCTGGAAGTAACCACAGTTACCAGATTATTGTGTGTCCTTTCAGCGATATTCTCTGTGTGCATGTATAAGTGTGTGTGTTTGTAACATCAGTAGTAACATAAATAGTAATAGCTTTTAACATAATTTTTAACATAAATGATAACATATCTTTTTTCCTACTTTGAGGTGATCATATTAGTATATAAATAGCTTTTTCAGTCCATTTTAGAACTGCATAATTTTCTACTTTATGGTTATATCATAATCTATTTAAGAGTCCCCTAAGAAAGGGGACTTTTGTTTTTAATCTTTTGTTGTTCCAAACTGTGCTGCAGTGGATAGTCTCATACATACATAGGCAAGTACCTAAAAGAGGAATTGCTGATTCAAAAGATACTGGCTTTTGTCATTTTGATAGTCTTTTCTGCTACCCTTTGCTTTCTTTGACATGATTTGTCTTGTCACCTCTGTATCTTTGTCATGTGCTTCCTGACTAAGGTATTTGCCTTGTGGTCCCATCTCCTTTTTTAGGGTCCAGCTTAATGCTAACACTCTCCAGGACAGTCTCTTGGTAATTCAGATTAGGTCTGGCATTTATTTCCTTGCTTCTCATATCACTTAGGTGCTATTTCTACCTTCACATATAACTCAATTGAAATATTCACCTTGACTTCCCCAGAGTGTTCTTTAGTTTTTAAAAAAATTAGTTCTTATAATTAGTATTTAAAGGTGATGAGTGAATAAATTACTGGAACATTATTCTTATATTTGCTAACTATTCTACTTGGTTTTGTGGAAAATATAAAAGATCTTTGTACACAATAAATAGGTCTTTGCCTGTTATAATTTAATAGTAATCTTAATGGGGTTATATAGAGAACTTTAACAAGTACTGCAAAGGATATTTTATATTTAAACAGTATTATTTCTAACTAGGAATTTCACTGTTGTGTTTTTTCTTTGTTTGTAAACAAAAAAAATCATTTTTGAAGAAGTGTTTTTGTCTCAAAGAAGCCCAGTGGTGATTGGTGCCACACGCTGGAGAGAAATAGCTAACCTGAACTGATTTTGGTTTTGCAGATACTTTGTACAGAACAAATCATTTAGAATTCAAAATAATTTAGAATTCTTTTATGAACGTTAGGGATACTTTAAATATGAACAGAACCTAAAATTTTACAGTGTCCTAGGTATTTAAGAAAAAAGTTTGTTCTAGAATGATAAAAATTTGATCCCGTACAGAAGTGATTTTCAACCAGTGTGCTGTCAGAATTTTTAAAACATGTAATACCTGACTATGTAGTCAGGTAGTCATACCTGACTATTGGCAAAAGGTACATTGTTTGGTGTGTTGCGGAATTTTAGTAATTAGTTTGTGTGTGCCTGAGATGGGAAGGGTTGAAAACTGCTGCTACAGAGGCGTGTCTTACTCCTGTGGTCCGTGCCATTTTACACACTGTGCGCTGGCACCGCCCAGATGCAGAGCGGAGTCAGCAGTGTACAGGCGGGTGACACTAAGCAAGTCCCTTTGTGTGTCTGTGTTCTGTTCACACTCAAGCCGGCTGCCATTTTCTCTGATCATTCTTTATGGGCGCATTTCATTCTTTATGGATTCGGGTGAATGTGACTGGCCTCATGGTGCCAGAAATTGTGGTGAAGAGCCAGTTGCCCCCATGTTCTGTATGCTGTGCTTCAACAGTGCCCCTCTTTATCAGCCCCCTCATTCAGAAGGGATGATTCATAACCTTTTAGGCTTTTAATATTTGCACTGTGCTCTCCAACAGTTATTTCTCACAGCCTCTTTATGACACGGATTTCCTGGAGGAGGCAATCTGTAAGGCGGCCCACAGGTGAAGATGAGGAAATGCTAAAATTGGAGCCACTGTTATTCCCGGTCTTTTCCCGCAGTTGTGCTCAGTCACAGAGATGCTGGGGGTTCTTCATAAATCATTTCCTCACTAACTCAGTCTGTACACAGAACATAAATACTGCGCCCAAATGTGAGGTGCGTTTCCTTTAACATGATTATCAAACAAGAGAAACCCAAGCTGACTGCAGAGCAAACTCTGAAGCCCAGATTGTGCAATATAATTGGCAAGTAATTAAAAAGATAACTGAAGTCTGTTGAATTGAACATACTAAATAACATTTATTAAGACTTTCAGATAAGTCAATGAAAGGTCTATTTAAATGTTTAAAAATAGAATTGTAAATGTATCATTAGTCAGAACCAGAAAATTTCCATATACTTTGGAGAGACCGTTTTCTGGTAAAGATCACAGATTAAAGCAGAAACCTATAACTTACTCTTAGAAAACAGCTGAGTGTTCTGTGACTTGTATAGGTCAAAAATGTGCTTCTAATGGTAAAAGAAACATTACAGAATAATGTGTCTTGATATAAGAAAGAATCATGGTATGGTTGGAACATTCATTAGGAAGATTATTTTTAAAAAAGGGATGGATATGTATTTGAGGAAAATGCAAATCAGCATAAATATAGGGTACTGACTGTTTTTTTATGATCCATTTTAGAAACACGATTTGGTATCAGATTATTTTGGTGAATTAAATATGTGATAGAATTTCAAAGATGACCTAAAATAGTAATATTACCTTTGAGTCATGAAAAAAAAAGGATGTTGTGTTGAAAAAGTTTAAATCAGCCCTAGCTGGTGTAGTTCAGTGGATTGAGCGCGGCCGCGAACCAAAGGGTCGCCAGTTCAATTCCCAGTCAGGGCATGTGCCTGGGTTTCAGGCCAGGTCCCCAGTAGGGGGGCATGTGAGAGGTAACCACACATTGATGTTTCTCTCTCTCTTTCTCCCTCCCTTCCCCCTCTCTAAAAATAAATAAATAAAATCTTTTTAAAAAAGTTTAAATCACCTTCTCAGATATGTAAAGGAACTACCAACTTTGAATACTTTTGACTGTGAATGTTAACATTTTTATTCATATGACTCTGAGAAGAAATACTCGAACACATTGTATGTAGTAGCTAAGTAGTTCAGGAAAAGTTACAGTGCAATGCTAAAGTGACTTCTGGTTTACATTCCATTGATTAGGCAGATTGTTTTCATGATTTATAATTTCCAGGAGAAATTCCAGGAAAAGGGGGGAAATATATACTTGGGGAGCCTCTAGTTGAAAGAAATTTGCTTGTGGAACCATTGCCTGGAAGAGCAGTGGAAGTTCTGACTCAAGACTGAGCCAGAAAAACTTGAGATTTTTGAGGATAAAGAACCTTCCATGCTGGCAAAATGTAGGCAGAAGGCCTTTCTGTCTGCAGCTGTATGAGACCACCTTATATTTCATTGCTTGACTTATTTGATACACACAGACCTCTGTGGTGTTCCAACCGCACCCGCTTTATCTTCTGTCAGCCTTCTTGCTTGCTTCTCATTGATTTGGATAAGAACTCCGTACACTTTCCTATCTGAATATAGTGTAAGAGGTACCTTAAAAATATGTTGATACACAAGTTTTTGTATAGAGAATAATTATGTATGAGTCAATGCATTTTTAAAGTATCTTTTTAAAATGTCTTTTGAACCGAGATTAGGATGCAAGTGTACAATGCTAGATATCTTTAACTTTTTAGATATTTTTTTTCTCCTTTCAGTTTTAAAATTAGTATTTTTAATCTAAAAAAGTTAGGTTTAAATCTAGTTTCATATAATGGTGGTTTAGACCTAGTTTTATGGTGTAGTTAAGATACGAAATTTCAACATTCTAGAGGGGGCAGACATTCTGTGTGCCTTCTAGAGGGGGCAGTGGGATAGTAGGGAGGTGCAGAGTCCATCCAGGAGAGAAGCGTGGGTTATAGTCCCATCTCTGTCGGCCTTGGGCACATCACACCCCTGACCCCCCCCCCTTTTTTTTGCCTCTTAGTGTTCCTCATCTCTAAAGTGGGATCAGTTGAGATAATGACAAGTCCAATTAGCTCTACTATTTCATGTTTTCCAACTTGTTTTTAAGTAGTAGAGTTTTTCTCTTGTTGAGAAATTTTATGTGTAAAACACGGAGGGAGTGGGATAAAAAGTCCAGGAGCCTCGCTGTGCTCTGAGCGCAGGGCAGCAGCCCCGCCCGGTGCTTTTCCTTTCTGCCTGTTCGGCTCTACAGGCGGAGCCTCCCCAGTGACAGGCTGTTTCTGATCGTTTCAGGGGCTATCAGCAGCAGGATGCCCACGAATTCATGCGCTACCTTTTGGACCACCTGCACTTGGAACTCCAGGGCGGTTTCAATGGCGTTTCCCGCTCGGCAATTCTTCAGGAGAATTCTACTCTGTCTGCAAGTAACAAATGCTGCATGTAAGATTGAGTTTCCTTTGGTGTTTTAGAAGAGCCTAAGACACTTCTGTTGGTATTATTTTTAGATTTATAATGGAAGGTGGAGAGTTTTCCTTAACTTTTGCTGAAAATTTTGTGCATTTGACCTTTGTGACCACGTGGGCTGGCCCATGTTTCACACTTTCAGACCAGAGGCATCTTATATTTGTACCTTGGCGTAGTTCTGATTGTTATTTGGTATAGCTCATTTTAAAACTTGGAAAACAATAGCAAATATTTGTACAATTTAGCACTTAAAAGTTTTCCTCCTAATGCATTGAGTAATGGATTGAACTTTTTTTCATATACTACAATAATTATATTTGTTCACTAAAAACAAAGGCTTAAAATACTTTTGAATGTGAATTATAATATTTTGGACTTGAATTTTCCTAAAGTACAAGTTCTGTCTGGAAGAAGTCCAGCCATTGCTAATATAATAATTTGCATAACATTGATGTAGTCTGGCAGCCAAGGAGAGTGGACTGGACTGTGCATATGTGAACAATGACGACTTCACTGTACTGGTCAGTGGGGGTGGTAGACATCACTGAGCGAGCATGTGTACTGTGTGCCTGGCACATTGAAAATGACTGAGTGAGGAGAGCAACAGATCTGCAGCCAGTGTTGCATTAAGCTTGAACATTCTTCCATGGAAACTATTCCAGTGATTCAGAACTACACACCTGTGGGCAACTGGTGATTGGCAGTTTCATTAGGACAATGCACCCCCTCATGCATCGTGTCTTACGCAGAGTTTTTTGGCAAAACATCAAATCGCCCATGTGACTCAGCCCCCATAGAGCCCAGATTTGGCACCCCATGATTTCTGACTTTTCCCCAAACTAAAATCACCTCTGAAAGGGAAGAGATTTCCAACTGTCAGTGAGATTCAGGAAAATACAGTGGGGCAGCTCATGGTGATTGGGAGAACTGTGTGAGGTCCCAAGGTGCCTACCTTGAAGGGGACTGAGGTGTCATTGTCCTATGTACAATGTATCTTTGATCTTGTATCTTCAATAAATGTCTCTATTCGTCATATTACATGGCCGGATACATTCTGGATAGACCTAGTATATCTGTTCTTTATTGAAATTGAGGAATTTGTAAGTTCTTAGAATTTTTTCTTCCCTCTTGATAGGAACAAAACAAACCTTTTGGATTGCTTTTCCAAGTACTGATACTCCAAAATATACATTGAGATTAGAATGTTTATTTTGCTTGAGGCATAGATGCTTTACAATACTTCAGCCAGGTATTGGTTAGTTGTAGTCTCCTTTGGCTCATGTTTTTAAAAAGTTTTGTGCTGACCTATGCAGGAAAGGGATTTCTAAGACAAACTCCCCAAAGGAACAAAGAGTAGGTAACACATAGAGGTTGCTGTAGTATCGCCTGGCAGTCCATAAACTTGACTAGTGGGAGGTCTTTTTAATGACTAAACAGTCTCATAGCAAATCTGGCTGTATCAGAGAAGGGTAAGCAGTATGAATTGCCATTCTTCTCAAAAGGTTTGGCCTTCCAGGTCCTTGTAGCTGTAACTCCATTTAGAACCCCATACAGAAAGGGAAGGATCTTTGGTAGAATTGTTCTTCCTGCTAGCACCAAATTAAAAATAGTATTAAATGAGAAATTCTGTTCTGCATTTTGACTTGATTAGTATTCTTTTCTCAGAGGCAGAGATTAGAAAGGAAGGACTACATTGAGTTTAAATGTTCTGCTTTATAACAAAGTACTAGTTTCTACTTAAATTAGAGGCAGCATTGGCCCTGGCCAGTGGCTAAGTTGGAGCATCGGCCTGTACAGCAAAAGGTTGCAGGTTTGGGTCCCTGTCAGGGCACACGCCCAGGCTGTGGATTCCGTCCCGTCGGGGCATGTGTGGGAGGCCACCCAGTCGTTGTTTCTCTCTCACATCAGTAAACTTTTTTAAAGGCAGCATTATACGTAAACATCAGTATGAAAGGGTCAGCCATAGTCCCTTTATTTTCAGTAGTTGTTATTCCGGTATGGCCTTTGTTTAGGACACAGATAGGAAGCCTAAAACCAGCGATGCCCATTGTGTTCTACAGTTCTTCCCGTATACGGCTTTTGTTTAATTCCTAAACGAGAGCTATATGCCTTATGAACAACTTTTTTTAAAAAAGTAAACTAGTATATTTCTTTTGCCAGTAAAGGAATGTAGCCAAAGGAAGCAAACTTTTAAAATTATAGAGTTGCTCAGGTAGGTTTTGTCTGTGTGATCACTGTAGTTGATTTGGAGCCATTCAGAAAGTGCGGCCCAGTGTATTGGAAGTGCCGTTGGTCACCAGTGTCAAAGCGCCTCTGATCCCTGTTAGCTTAGAAGCATTTACTGGCTCAAGTTAACCGTGCAAGTGCACCAAGAGTGATGTATGTGTTTGTTGTAGTGCTACTGATGATAGCAAAATATTGAAACAGACTCAGTATGCGTGATATTGGTTAGATTAAGAGCACGAGCGTAGTGATAGGAACAGCTGCTTAGGCCAGACCAACACCTAAGACCTTGGGCCGACACTTGACCCTTTGGACCCCAGCCTTCCGGTCTGTGAAATGGGGAGGCTCACATCCACCTCAGAGCTGCTGTGTGGGTTAACTGAGGTAATGAACGGGAGTGCTTAGCACGGCACTGGGCGTGTGCTGTGCCAGTCACGCTCTCGCTGGTGCACTTTCTCGGTTGTTCTTGGGTCTGCTCGGTGTCCCTTCTGTGATATGCCAGGCAGCTGTTGAGAAGAGTGAGGTACATGTTTGAAATCGGTACTTAAGGAAAGCAAAAGGCCAGCTGTCATCCTAATTATCATGGTAATAAAAAGCCCTTAACACACTCTAAGGGCTTGCTTATTGGTAAGCACTCTTCTGAAAGCACTGTACATGTTTACATCACTCATTTCACCTTCACACCAGGCCTCTGAGATAGGTCAGCGTTACTCCTGACCTACATTTGATGAAGCTGGGGCACCGAGAGGTTCACTGACATTAGGACAGTTAGGTCTTTTTTTAAAGATTTTATTTATTTATTTTTAGAGGGGAAGGGAAGGAGAGAGGGAGAGAAACATCCATGTATGGTTACCTCTCATGCATCCCCTTCTGGGAACTGGCCTGCAACCCAGGCATGTGCCCTGAGTGGGAGTTGATCCGCGAGCCTTTGGTTCACAGGCCCGTGCTCAATCCACTGAGCTATACCAGCCAGGGCAGGACAGTTAGTTTTTTCATTGAAGTGGTGTGTCCTTGATCTCCACAAAGCAATTGTTCATAATATCCTTTTAAGTTAGCTTTTTAAAAGGCTCATTGACAGCAATACTCAGCACTTCAAGTCATACCTCCACCAGAAATTACTAAATAAGTATTAAATTTCTTACTTTTTTTCTCCCAAGCTTGACAGACAACCACCTGAAAAGTGGAAACCTATCTCTGATTGAGGTGGTTGTTCAAAGTAAAGTAATTGAGAGCCCTGTGTAAGATGAGAGGCCTTGCAGAGCTTCCACTCTAAGACAGTTAGTTCCATCTTTTCTTGGGGACGCATTTGTGGGGAAAGGGCCCTCCTGCCCTGAGTGTGGGTGTTCACGAGATCCGATTGTTGGCAGGGTCAACGTTCAGTGTGGGCTACTTCGGGAGTGGGAGAGGCCTGGGGGGAGTCCAGCCAATGGCTTAAACCTTTTATTTAGTATACATCTATATAGTTCTGAAGTTTTTGCACCCTTTTGTAATTTAAATAAATATAAATGACATACATTCCCCCAAAGGGAGTCACCTACAGGAGCATTTACACATTTACCTTAGTTTTTTACTGATGTGTTTTTCTGTGTGGTTTTCTTTAGAAATGGAGCATCTACGGTTGTCACAGCTATATTCGGGGGTATTCTCCAAAACGAGGTTAACTGCCTCATATGTGGGACAGAATCTAGAAAGTTTGACCCATTCCTAGGTAAGATATATTTGGTATGTGGCGATATGATATTGTATTACAATAATTTTAATGTTTCCTTTTAAAATTAAGACATGGTAATCATTAAAAATATGTTTTTGAAATTACTTTTTGAATGTGGCTATATGAGTTTAACAACTGTTTTCCTATTTCTTTTTAAGACCTTTCATTAGATATTCCAAGTCAGTTCAGAAATAAACGTTCTAAGAATCAAGAAAATGGACCAGTTTGTTCATTACGAGGTAAGATACTAAATTAATGGTCTAGAATTCTTCTTCCCCTCTGAATACGTGAATGTATTTATAAGCTCCACCTATTTGTACTGTGTCGTTAATCACTTTAGTGAATTTGTGTTCTAACTTAGCAAAAGTCAACCCTGGATGCCTCTTCCTATCCCAAAAAAATTCTATTTAATATGAATGCCTGCCAGAGATACTAGGTCAAGCATACAATATTTCTCATTTTTCTCTTTTAAAAGTAAAAGTCCATAACAAAACCTTTTCTGACCTGATGAAATAGAATGTATTTTGTGGATATCCAACTAGTATCCAAAGGAAGAATGAACAGCTAGCAAAAGTTTTATAAATTATGGTGTCATTTAATTCTTTTACATGACAAGTGGTTTAAGAAATCTGTCAGCACCACTGTTGGTTAAACCCAAGGCCCTGCTTGTAATCGCAAGACTTGAGATTCACATTTACTGTGCAAGATGTTGAACAACCTTTTCCCTTGATGAATATTAACCACCTCAGTCAAGGCAAAAGACCTATCCTTGACCAACCACTATAATGACTTATTGTGCCCATTAGTCATAAAAGGAACTAGGATAGAAGAAAGAGGACGTGGTACGTGTTCTGTCACTAATTAATAGAACACTGACGGCAAATAACAGTTTCTGCCCTAAATTGTATATTTGCTCAACTGTCTTGGGGGGAATACTGTCATAATTATAGATAGATTGATAGGTAGGTAGATTTTTTTTCTTAAAAAAAAGATTCTATTAGTTGGAAACTGTACTCTTGTATGGCAACCACAGTCATATGTGACTATTAAAAATTTAGTTAAAATTTTTCAGTTGCTCACCTGCACTAGCCATATTTCAGGTGTTCAGTAACCACGTGGCTGGTGGCTGCTGTACTGGGCAGCACCGATGCAGGACATTTCCATCATTGCAGGAAATTCTACTGGGCAGTGCTGCCCTAGAATCAAACTATTCTGATAAAAATGAAACCGTTGGAGGCGGGGCAGTCTTCTCTGGGTCATGGGCACCGCACAGCGTCCGACTTGTTAAAAGAGGGGCCGCAGAGGTACTGCTCGTGGAACTGTTGCTCAGGTTGTTTCTGGAAGTCTCTCAGGAGATGACTTTAAAACCACTGGACTACTCCAAGAAACAAGAGCCAGCCAGCTCTGCATATCGTGGTCGCTTTCAGTCTGTTCCCGACTGTGAGTTTTGTGTCTTTCGAGCGGGAGGAGTACAGAGGAAACTTGGGGAAGCCCTGCCCACTCCACTTTCCCCTAAAATGTATGCCTGCAGTGTGTTTCTCCACAACTGTTTTTGGCCTTTTTGAGATAAATGTCATAATATACTTCATATCAAATGTCAGCTCATTTTCTCTTTATATTTACAGCATGTGAATATAGGCAAGCTTAACCATAAAATGAACATTATTTGGTCAGATAGAGGAAATCAGTGAGAATCAAATTATTGAAGGAGTTAGCCTTAAACTATATAATCTAAATCAAAAGTGGGTTGACTTCATAGAACAGTAGAAGATTGACATTAGTTTTAGAAAAATAGTTTTCCTTAATATAAAGATGTGGATATTTATTTGAAAAATATTCCCTAATATTTAACAAAACCCAGCAAATCCATGTGCTCTCTGGCTGGAAGCCCCAGAGACACTGGTTTGTTCAGGCTTCTTCCCTTTCTTCTCGGCGGGGTGCCCCCGTCGCGAATCCCTCGAGCACGTGGTTCTGGCCGCTTTCTGGGGCCCTTCACCGACCGCCTGTCCCAGAATGCCGCAGTACCAGCCTTCCTTTCGTGAGATCACCCAGGAGGGGAGTGTGCGACACAGCTCAGGTGGTTGGTTGGTAACATAAACAAGAAAAATGGCAAAAGGAGATGATAAACTCAAAACAAATATTTGTGATATACACATGAAAACAAATACTTGGACAAAGTATATGAACAAGAAAAAATGCAAATGGTCAGTTTAACACCGAAAAATGTCTCACTTACATTCAAGAAGGTATAATAAGTAAAGCAAAATTTGTCAGGATGATAAAGATAGATTCTATCTTTTGTTAGTGAACGTTTTAGAAAGTGGGCACTCATGTTGGTATTAGGAGTAGAAATTGGTACAGTTGTTTTTGGAGGGTAGTGATCACCATTTTAAAATTTTTTATTTATTTTTTATCCTCAGCTGAGGACATGCCCATTGATTTGAGAGAGAAAGAGGAAGGGAGGGAGGAAGAGGGAGAGAAACACTGATCTACTGCCTCTCAATCTTGCCCCAACCAGGGACCAAACCTGCAATCTAGGCATGTGCCCTCACCTAGAATCGAACCTGTGACCTTTCGGTTTGCAGGACTCTGCTCCAACTAACTGTACCACACTGGCCAAGGCAATCATCATTTTTAAGAGGCATTTCCTTAGACATAGTAATTTCACTTGCAAATGTGGACAGTAACATACGTAAAAGATATTCATTGACGCATTCTCTGGTACTGCAAAAAATCAGAAGTATTTTATATGCCCAACAGTAGGGCATTGGTGTTCAGTAAATTATACTTTGTAGCAATTAAGAAAGCTAGTTGGTGACTAGCCAGGCCACAGAAAGGTAAATAACAGAATATTGTAGAGTAAAACACTATCCATGGAAATATGTATATAGACTTAATCCATTTGTGTATGACTAAAAAAATTCATATGTGCATTAAATTCGTGAGCAGCATCTACTGTTTATTCACAGTGATGATCTTAGGGGGATGGGATTCAGGAAGAAAAGGGTTCATGGCTTATGTGTTCTTGCTCTTTATGTTTGACTTCTTTAACCTATTGTGTCACCTTTATAATTAGGTATTTTGAAGGAGTAGAAAACATGGACTGATTTATATGTATTTCCCAATTACTGCTTTGCTAAATTAAATTTACTTGATACACAAAGGTGATCTAATAACTTCAATGATAGGTTTCACTCCCTGCTCTCCACGGGAATGCCATTCAGCAGTTCACATAACAGAAGACTGACCACTGTGGGGCACACACCCTGAAACCCCGGCAAGTCCTAGGCATTCCAAAGACCCCTGTGGCTAATTTTTTTCCCCTCATGAAATACAAATGAAAAAATTAAGCTGATTCTTCAGATCTGTAGTGAGAGGTGTGAAGGCCACTAGAGAACAACAGAGCTTTGCTGAGGTGTGAGAGCGGTACCTGCTAGAGATTATTCTCTGGCCACGTGGTTCCTTCACTTCCACGCATGAGCTTGGAGGTGAAGTTCACACCTGTGCTGCTGCAAAACATTAAACTGTAGTGCATTCCAGGGTCAGACTTTTCAAATATTTAAAATGGCAATTGTCACATCTGCGAATGTCAAGGATATGCTGTATCCAGGCGGTCTGGCTCTTAAATGTGTGTGCAGATGTGTTTCCGAAACGGTTGTCCTTAATGCAAATAAGGACATTTGGGGACCATTAAAAAAGAGTGCGAAGAGGAAAATAAACATCTTTTCCTTATATGCCCACTGTCCAAAAATACATGGTTATGGATATTTTTCTTTAAAAACTGTTTTATAAAAGGGCAGCAGTTGAAACTTTTGAGGAAAAAAACCTGTTTGTTTAAACTCATAGAAACCATTACAAATGGGCATTAGGTTTTCAGGAGAGCTTAAGAAGCTTTTCAAACCCCAGGTGGAGATGACTGGTCGCTCTCAATGAGTTCAGCCAGGGTGTCCAATGTTCCTTCTCTACTACAACTCCCTGGCGGCCACCCACGGGCGCGCCAGTCCTCTGACCTGATGCTGCTGAGACAGTGGGGCTGCCTCGCTGTCTGGGGCACAAAAGCAGCTCTGGGGCCCTGTTGTAGCTCCAGGGAGAGGTGTCAAAACAAAAAGAGGGCTCCAAAAGGCAACCGGGCCACCACTTTTTAAATTGAGTGAAAAACTGTGCTCCGCTTGTATTGCTTGTTTGTGAGCCATCCAATGGGGCTTCATTCCATTTTGGTTTATCACATGGCCTCACATGAAAAGGGGCCAGAGTCTTCTGAACTATCTTGTGTGTAAATCGGCTGTGGGAGCACTTTGTGGTCACCCTGTATGTGTTAGCCTCTCGGAAAAGTAGCAGGAAGGGAAATACAAAAGAGGAACATGTCGGAAAGCAAGAATGTCTGGGGGAAGGTGAAAAGAACCTCCTTTGAGTTGGGAAGAAGCTGGAAGGCTTCTTTTGCAGAAAAGGAGCAGGGTGATGCAGGGCCAGGCGCTTCTGCCATTTAGCTATTGTGAACAGGCTGTTATGAACATACATGTACGAATACCTGTTGGACTCCCTGCTTTATGTTCTTCTGGGTAGAGACCTAGGAGGAGAGTGGCTGGATCATAGGCTAATTCTACATTTGACTTTTTGAGGAACCGTCAAACTGTTTTCCACGGTGGCTGCACCATTTACATTCTCGCCAGCAATGTATGAGGGTTCTAATTTCTGCATTTTCTGGATAATATGTTACTTTCCATTTTTTGTGTTTTAAAAATTATCACCGTCATAATGAGTGTAAAGTGGTATCTCATGGTGGTTTTGATGTGCATTTCCTAATTAATAAGGTTGAGTATCTTTTCTTGTGCATGTTGGCAAATTGTGTATCTTCTCTAAGAGTTTTATGTCTTATGTTTAGGTCTTTGATCCATTTTGAGTTAATTGTTATGTATGGTATTAGGTAAGGGTCCAGCCTCACTCTTTTGTGCGTGAATATCCCATTTTCTCAGCACCACTTGCTGAAAACACTCTCCTTTGCCTGGGCCTGTTGCCCTCGTCAGTAACCAGCGGACTGTATATTTAAGGGTTTATTTATAGGCTCTCTATTCTAGGTCACTGATCCGTGTGCCTGACTTGTGCCAGCACCACACTGTTTTGACCACTATCACTTTATATTTATAGTGAGTTTTGAAATTAGAAAGTGTTGAGAGTCCTGCAGATTTGTTCTTGTCAGGATTGTTATGGCTAGGCAAGATTCTTTGAGATGCTGTATGAA